ACATAGATCCAGCATGGCTGAATCAAAAACAAAACTAATTATGAAAATTGAACATTGATTAATGAACCATGTAAATGAGGTCAAGGTCAAATGAAACCAGCTGACAGACATTTACAACTTACAATCATTCTATACACCAAATGGAATTGATCTATTTCTTATAGTATCAAATAAATCGATAAAACAATGAAAACTTAACATTGACCATTAATGACAAATGAACTATGACAATGAAGTCAAGGTCAGATGATATCTGCCAAACATACACCTTACAATTAATCCATACACCAATTAAAGTAATCCCTTTGCTTATAATTTCTGAGAAACAAACCAAACCACAAAATCTTTACATTGACCAAGGAACAAAGAAAATGAGGTCGTCAGATCAAACCTGTCAGTCCCACATGTACACCTTAATATCATTTCCTATACCAAAAATAATAGACATATATTGCTTATAGTATCTGAGATAAGGACTTGACCACAAAAACTTAACCTTGATTGTTGATCCATGAAATAAGGTTGTAGGTCAAGTAAACCCTGTCTGACAGACATGTAGACCTTGCAATGATCAGATATACCAAATATGGTTATCCTATCATTCATAATAATTGAGTATTTCGCGTGACAAAAAAACTACCTGGTAAACAGTTTTTCAAGCAGTCGCTGAACCATCTAAAATGAGGTCAAGACAATGGACACATTGGGTTGGGCGGCCGCAAACATGTTAAACCTCGCCACATTTTATATTTGTCTCACCAAAGTCAGAACCTGTTATTCAGTGATTGTAGTTTGTTGCTGTATATCATATTTGTTTTTCATTAATGGATTTGTACATAATTCAGGCAGTTATAGTTTTCTCATTTGAATTATTGAACATTTGCATCGTAATACAAGGTATGAAGCATCAATGTTTTCTTCCTTCTGAAATATAAAGCTTTATACAAAAGTTTACACTACTATTGCCACCAAGTAGTAATCCCTAAATCACAAGCAAGACAATAATCAGATGGAAAGAGGCTTAAAGGGAAAATTCGCGATTTTTTACTTATCATCTTATTATGTTCATAATACCATTAAAAACATATCCACCAAGTTTTATCTGGATATGAAAACTAGTAAAGAAGAAAATTGGGAATTATTAATTCTATTTATTCAAACTTCCTGACTTATGTAACGTAGTTTAAGTCTTTTTGCATGCCGGGAGTGGATTAATCTCATTTAAAGTCTTGTTCGTTAATCATCTAATAACGCGATTTAAAGCGCATCAACGACTTTTGGTGTAGCTATTAACCAACTAACATTTCAGAAAGAAAAGTGATCAGCCGTGCATTTTTTTAAATTAAAATTTACGATTTATATTTTAAGGATTTCTGATATGATTATAGTAATAAAAGTAAATCATACAATAGAATTTTTTTATGATTTTTTTTTCGACGGATATTTCTAACAACATATATAACTGATAGTATAATAGAAATTCACGTTTGTATTCTCCCCTATTACTTCAGTCGAGGATTTGTCTTACTATACAAATCATTGCTTCAGTCTAGTACTGTGTAAATACAATGCATGTGTATTATGCTGACACCACCTGGTAAAGGCGTGGTTAAATTCACGGTAATTAAAAGATTAGCATTATGTAATTTTAATCCTTTGATCTTCACTAGAGTGGTGTTTGTCCTCAAGGGTTCACCGTTGCAGGTATGAGACAGATTTTTTTTAATTATTAAGGGAGGAATATGGTGGCAATTAAAATACCTTAATTATATATATATTTTTTTAACATTTTGCATTTGCTCAGTTTTTAAATAAATAGGTGAGTATTTTGTTGTAACATCGAAATTCTGAATCACTTTTAATAAAATAATTATATAAACATTATAAATGGCCCATGAAAACGAGCGTATAAATCAAAACAGTACTATTTTAAATTATCATCGGTAACCTTGAATATTTAAATGTGCAGAGAAAATTATCAGTTACAAAAATATAGTTTTGTCGTCCAAAGCGATCTTCATTTACCTAATCAGGAATGCCCTTATTAAAATATTATAAATCTCACAACGTATTTATATAATTCTTAAGCTATTTGACCAACGATGTTTAAAAAAATTAACAGAATCAATCTAACGTCAACTTTCCTTTTTTAAATGGAGACAGAACGTCGAAATCAATTTTCAATGTGCTTGATATCTTGTACCTTTGTAAGACTTATCATTCATTCATAACCCCACTCTAAACCAGAGACATATATACGTCTGTTTAAACTGACAAAAAAACTCCTAAAGCGGACAAGCAGTATATTCTGTAAATTTCTGAGATTTAATACAAAGAAATAAAAAAAAAATCCCGAAATGAATTTGATCCTGGAAAATATTCACATCCTCATTCGGTCTGAAAAAAAGATACGAATTTGGTATACAGAACATGCAGAAATGTGAATGTTATAAAACCTAATTGTTATATCAGAAACCATTATAAATATGAACATGTATACGTAAGACCTCATGGGACGTCACCTAACCACATTCAGGTAATATACAAGTAGCTCTGTTATACCCGGAAATGCCCCCCCCCCCCCCCCCCAAAATCGAGGAACAGTATATCTTACAATGTGTATATTCCTGCAAAAATAAAAATAAAATGAGAAAAAAGAAAGAGATGAACGGTAAGTCACATCAGATTCAGATATTTATATAGTTGCTTGTCGTTAAATAGAGATCTAGTGTATACATGTCTCTGCGTTAACTTATAAAAATAACAGGAAATAATAACCTTGAAATAGATTTATGATGAATACTTTGCAACTGCGACACCCCTTTTTATCACAGCGTACATGCATGCATTTAAATGACTGTCCGTTATGCGATTTAGAATGACAATCGTACGTACAATCCTATAGTTCATGCATGGTGAGTCCTTTTCTATCAGATATGCGACTTTTCGTATTTATATTTTCTCTTATATTACCGGTACTGTCATTTAATATCTAATGCATAAGTGCAATATTAAGAGTGGTTAAATCCCCTACAAGCTAACTAAATAAATAAATCAACCCTCTAGCTGACCAGACGTTAATACAACTACCATCAGTCTATCCGGAGTGAAGTTTCTTTATTTCTTCAAATAGGCTTTTGGGTATCATTAGTGCACGTCCAGTGGCATATATATATAACATGCATGTCGGACTAGGAAAATGTGATGATGACGAATTTCTTAAACTGTTCGAAATAATCTTATTGAAATATAAATCTGTGATTTTACTATGTCTATAGCTTCGATGAACCAAAGCAAGTTAGATATCGACCTGTATTTAAATCAGATTGGTTCTGGATGTTTCTCTCGTATATTCAATATACTTGTATGATATTAGTTCTATATTGCGACTATCCATAGTTCCGTATTAAACCTTCCATCTAGGCGTATAAACCAATGATCGATAAGTGTCGCACATTTTGTTAAATCAATATTTGTATGTTTGAAAATGTCCATAATTATTGACAACGAGTATATACTTACATTTTCCCCAATTTACACTTGGAAAATGTGCCCGTAAATAGATTTTTATTTCATCAAATCTTTTTTTTTTTAATTATTTAAATTTTCATAAATATCATTCTTTACACCAAAAATGTTATTTATAAACAAGCGTATGAGTTTAGCAATGACTAGTAGTATATCACTATCGGATACGCTATACAAAGTTGTATATTACACCTGATAGATTCAAAATGGAAGTTACATGTTATCGGCCGTGTACACTGATCAATACCCCCAGAAAAGAAGTTATGCACGAACTTGTTTTATGTAATTGTGTAATAACAGTTTTAAAGCCCGACAGGAAATCGCTTGAATACCTGTACGTGTCACCTCACAATACCTCTGGGAACAATCCCTTTAGCCATTCTGGTGATCAGATAAGGGAAGGTCCGAATTTATTTTAAAAAGTTTATTACATAAAACAATTATGAACAACTAGATTTTCAAAAACAATTTAACACGGAACACTTATTTATAACTTTGACTTTTTAACTAATTTCAATTTCTTGTTTTAAATACTTCGTAAACAAAACAGTTTCAAAACGACAGACCATACTATTAGTACTAGTTATTTAAAAAATAATATATATAAAATTACATTTTCCGTATCAAGTTAGTTAGGAAAGGTTGCACAACCATGTCTTTCATAATCTTTTTTGTGACCCGGGAAACTGTTTATGCTTTCCTTGTCGGATAAAACAACCGTACGCTTGACAAGATATCGACACTCAATTACGGCTACGTTAGGTAACTGCTTGTTTTGGTCCTTTGTGGTTTATAGATATATCGTGGTCAATATTCGGGGAGGATGACAAAATGGCCGCATGCGGAGAATTGATACTCTAAATTTAAAATCGATGGTGATCTCTTAACTTGTAGAATAAAACTTTAATATCTATGAATTTGTGCTTTTATATACATAATGAACAGAATATGAATTTTTCATTTTTTTGCGAAGTTTCCCTTTAAGAGCTTGACTCATCAGATTTATACTGCGCACAAAAACAAACAAAAAATATAAAGACAAAAGACAAAATTTATCTATCTAAGAGTACTCAGCAACTGAAAGCAAGATTAAAGCAAATTTCAACTTATAAATAAATCATTCCTCCCATCAGGATTTAGTGTAATGCCATAAGCAGTCTGAAAAATACATGACATTGTACAATGCCAAAACAGGAATGTTGGATTTGTCTTCTTAAGCATACACACACTTATAATTCAAAGTATCTGAAAACAGGAAGTGGGTGTCTGACAGACCTAAAAAAGCACTCTGACATTACAACTGTCCATTTCAAAGCTGCTGATATATGGTAATTCTGTTCAGTAGTTCCTGAGAAAAGTGTGATGGAAATATTTTCTTGACAAACAGATGGACAAGGTGATTGTAATTTAGCCCCTACTCTTAGAGTAGAAGTATAAAATGATAGTCCATACTATAAAGCAACTTGCTTTGTTTCTGGTCTGAACTGTTGGTTTGACGATCTACCTGCATACTCTTGACACCTTGTACAATTCCATTAGACAACATCAGTTTACCAGGACTGCTTGCCAAAGTTTCTTGTAGTTGCTGGTTCAACCCATAAGCCTCTGCAATATTATTAATATTTTGGTTTCCGTCCAGTTATTTTAGCAACTATTCTGCAGCTTATTTAAAGATATATAGATAAAAAATTATTTTTAGGTACTATATAAATAGGCATTGGCTATGCTTACCCACAAAAAGTAACAATAAGAAATAATAATTGTTACTTCCAAGATTAATTGCCAAGATGTATTTCGGGAGGGAACCCGATTTCATACGGAAATTGCAGGTAACAATAATATAATTTTTTATTGTCACCTGCAGTTATAGTTACCCACAAATATATTCAGGCAGGCATTAGTCTGAAAATGTTTGAATTGTGAGCAATCTGTGAAATAAATTTGAACAAAAGTCAATTAAATTATGATGTAAAAACATTAACAGGATTAAACTTCTAGATATATTGACCATTTTGGCGTTTATTTTTGCCGTTTTGGGGTCGTTTAAAACAGCTCACTATTCTTAGGTATGGATTCGAAAGAGCAAGATGTCCAATTTGTTGGTGAAAAGTTTATATCTCTTCAAAATTTTCATGATAAACTTCAACAATTCCAAGATGCAAATTTTGTTCAATTATAGAGACGAAGTTCTGATTATAACCTCAGAGGAACAACTTCATTTGAGAAATTTCCTCCATCTCAATAGATCAAAGAAAATATCTCAGAAAAAGGACATAGCCGAGTGGAACTGCTTAGATTGTGGTATTGATGTCATTATATATGAATCTATAGTTTGAGACAGATGTCTGAAGTGGTACCACCTAAAATGTGTTAGCCTCAAAATGTTACCAAAAGCTACATACAAATGACATACTGCATGTGCAGGAAGTGCCACCACAATAAATAGCTTTAATACTATTTATTGTGTATAAATGTTTAAATCATCATTGCTATGTTCATTAAATAATTTCTATTCATATAATTTTTTTTTTTCAAATGAGTAAACCGAAGTATGCGGGGCAATGACACCAAGATAGTACAAAGTATTGTGATGCTACACACAAAAAAGAAAATTTTGCAGGTAACAATAACTGCTGCTAACAATAAAAATTACTTTATTGTTACCTGCAATTTCCGTATGAAATTGGATCCCTCTCCGGAAATACATTTCTGGAATTAGCCTCGGAAGTAACAATAATTATTTCGTATTGTTACTTTTTGCTGGTAGCCGTAGCCAGTGCCATATTAATATCATCTTCTTAATATGCATTGATTTTCTTTGGATAGCAGTCCTTCTGTTGTTACTTTTTTTCTTGTAAGAGGTATTTGCTCCAAACTGAAAATCCCGCAAAATATCAGTAAGTTGCAGATGCGGATCCAGGATTTTGAAAAGAGGGGGCAGCGGGTCCCTAAACTAGACAAAATTTGAAGTGGAACTGATAAAAGGTCTGGATTAAAAACCAAAAGTTCAGACCAGAAACAAGTGCTTTAGTTGTGATAGTATTATGATAAGTCACGATGTTGTGGTGATATGCCAATAACATGTTACGTTGAGTTTAAACTACAGGATTTGAAGTAGATGTTGCACAATGTCAGCTTGCAGATGGATAATGCTCAGTCATCCACTTCAACTGCTATGATAACAAATAAAATGAATAGCTAAAATGTTATAAGGTGCTGACTTATTATGAATAAATGTTGAGCTGAGATAGTATGATGTTATATGCTGACTCAAAACTACACAAAGTACAGATAAAAGTACATGATGGTAGCTAAGATAGCACGATGATATTTCACTACATGTATTATGATACGATAGGCTTACCATACAATTTGTTGACTTAAAACTACTGGTACACAATGCAACGTTGAAAGTACATGATGTTATATCAATATAATATCACGATAGGCTTGTTATAAAATACGCTCATTTCAAACTACACAACGTTATAGAAACAAACTTAAAGTCAAAATAAAACAATGATAGGATGACATATATTTGTGCAGAATTGAAGTTTTTTGGTGTTGACTTCAAATATAATTCAAAGGTTAGATCGTTTTATGTTAAATTGAAAGACAATAATGATGCGACAACATTACAGAATTATGTGAATTCTGGGACTATTGTATTATGTCCCAGGTGAATTGAAATGGCAATTCTATGGAAAAGATTGAGGGACAATTTCCCTTTTTTTTTTTTTTTTATTTGCATAGTCAAAATCTGAAAGTTGATAAATATTAATGAAATTTCACTCAAGAGACAAAATGAAATACAAAGAAGATTTTTCATAAATTCATAAAGCAAAAGAACTGTCCATCGCTAAACATTACACTTGAATACAGTTTTGCTGCATGCATATTTTACATGTTCTGTTAGGATTTTTTTTTGCAAATTTTATGATTAAAACTCAAAATCTGTCAGAATTGCTTTGATGAACCATATTTAAGAAAATATTTATCAATGTTGTTTATTGATACAACATAATACTGTAGTCTCATAAGGCTTAGGACTTTGAGGGTCAAATTTTACTCATATAATAACACATCCATGTCAGAGTTATCAGTGACTTTGATTTTACTACCCCCATTTTTAAAACATAAGAATCTGGACTGAATCTAAAAAAAAAGATCAATTGATATGACACCTGATACGCTAAAGCTTAGGACTGTGTGGGTCAGAACTATATGAGAATGTGAATCCCCCTCTCCCAAAAAAAAGATACAAGATGAGCTTATTGATTTAAATGATGATCTATAAAATTCGGATTTATCCATATGGGTGAATGGATGGGTGAAGGCCAAACATTAAATGACATAATGAATGCTCGAGACCACTGATGCTATGGGATTTAACTAGATTGGTGGAGACGGCTTTAGATGACAGTAAACTTTTAAATCGTAACATCACATCCATGTCAGAGTTATCTGAAAATATGAATTTTCTTTACACCCCCTTTTTCAGAAATAAAACAAATGAATCTGGAATTAATCAAAACCAATACGATTTGGATTTCCATAGATTGTCAGAGACAGTTTGTCAACTAGTCCGTTACAAATTTGGTTAAGCAAGTAAAGTGTCTTGTACTAAGCAGAGTTTATTCATATTCGTATCACACTAACATGTTCTCGTCCTGATATGCATGTAATAGTTGCCACTGTATGCTAAAAACAAATCTATTACCATTATTTCTTTTTTGTGAAAAGGAGCTTATTTTAAGCATGTTCATCGATTTCACACCCAGTCAATCATGTTTTTGGGAGTTCCTCAAAAATTATAACTCAAATCGCCATGTGACAGGTGCCACATGTAAAACAGGATCAGCTTACCCTTCTGGAGTACCTGAGATCACACTGTTTTTTGTTGGTTTTGTGTTGCTTTGTCTAAGGTTTTCTATGTTGTTTTTAATATACTGTTGTTTGTCTTTTGATATTTTTTTTTTTCATTTTTGTCATGTCTTGACATTGTCATTTTGCTTTTGACTTACAAGTTTTACTTTCCCTTTTGTATCTTTCGGCCTTCTTTTACCCATTTTTGTGTATTCAAATTTAATTTTTGTCGTTTCTCCCTTTCCCCTGAGCAGTATAATATATAGAAAAATAAATACAGAAACCCTTTTCAACAAAAGAAGATCTACAAATAACTAGACGTGACTGAAATCGCTAATTTCATCCTCATAATAGATATTGCCCTTAGGGTAGATTGTCAAATAGCACAACACAATGGGTCTAAATCTAAACAAATATACAAATTTTGAGAAAGGAATCTAATTCAAATGTAATAATTTTCATCTTGATGAAGAAAATTATGTGATTTATCTTATTATAATGACTATTTGTTTTTAAATGCAGAAAGTTTTTGGCATAATCAAATTGTTTTTCAACTCTGCCATATAAGGGGTGATAACTCAGATTACCTTATTTTTGGTCATTTTTTGGTTTTTTTGCCATGGCATTGTCAGTCTGTTTTTCGACTTGTGAGTTTGAATATCACTTTCCTTTGTTGGGTCCTACTTATAAAGCCTGTACCCAATACCTTTTGATGAAGTATCAACAACCAATTTAAATGGTAAATAGAAACAGGGAAACTGAGATTATCAGGATAAACAAGATGAGGTTTAAGATTCTGAAATGCTGTAGATTGTTCAATTAAGGTAGATTAACTGTATACCACTATCTTGGATTGTAAAATAGCAGTACACAATCAGTCTAGCTCTTTGCTTAAAAATACTAATTTTTAGACAGATTGGCAATTAATTATGTAAGACTGTTTATTTGAATAAAGAAAAGTATGTGATTTATTGCATTATTCAAACACTTTTAACAAATACAAAATATGTGTTTTTGTTTTAATCAAGGGGAGATAACTCTAATAGTAAAATTTTCATAAAGGAATGTTATTGAAATTTTCATTTTTTTTCTTGTAGCAAGAAAACAATTTCAGTGACAATTTTTCTTTTCATTTTCTAAAAGCATATTGTAAAACCTATCATCTCATATTTTATTTCAAAATTCTATCCCATAGATTTCTTTTAATTCAGAAAGAAGTGTTTTTTCATGAACAATCTATGCAAAATTGGGTAATTTTGCACGTCTTATAGCTTGAAAAATAGCATGACGACCCATACTTTTTATTATGTTTTTGAAAAAAACATGGTAGAATCTACATTTTAGCAAAGTATAATAAAATCTAACTGAGGAAATAAACCTATGATCCACCTTTACCATTTAACTTTTTATTTTCTTCATGATCTTGTCTTGTTATCCTGCCGAACTGACTTTAAATAAAGCTAATACTAACAATGAACACTGCCCTTTCCTGGATCTTGATATCCTGGTGTTATAGTTACAGTTAATGGTCCTGGCATTTTCTGAACATGATCATCCTCCTCCGTAGGAGTTTCTTTCTTCACATGAAACACTGAAAATATTCAAGTAAAAGATTTGCTGTATGTCTAAGAAAATCTATCACACTGTTTCTCATACAAAAAGATTTTTTTGTGAGCAAGTAAGCTTCTATAACAAATTTCCAAACAAGAAAGTCACCATATCATTTGACAAGAATAAATGATGTCAGAATAACATTGTTTTTTGCATTAACTTGTCAAACCAGGTTTTCCTTACATTTATAAGTGTCATTGTTAAAGAAATCAGTGGCTTTTTTAAAGCAAAAGATGTAATGGTTTACTAACACTTTTAAACAGCAAAAGCTAATCTGGTGACCCCGTAATATTTCCATATCATTAAAACAGGAATGTTCACTCCAATAAGTCAATAATGTATCCATTTTAAACAGAATTATGTTGATGAAATTTAATGAAATTGCAATTTAAAGTGAAAAAAACTGCATTTTTTGGTATGCTTTAGAATTAATAAGTATGTTCTATACATTTATAGATCTATTTCATAAATGTTTAATCAACTGTATGTCTTAAAGTATAAATATATACATATTATTCAGATGCAGTTCATTGAGTTTTTAGCTGCAATCAAAATTTCATAAAAATCTGAAATATTAACCAAATATGTATACTTTGCCTTAAGTCAACATTTTAATAATACAATTCAAACAGGTTTTAACAACTTTTGAGATTTTGACTCTTAAAAAAAGAAGCTTTGGAAAATTTATGTAAGCATTAGATTTATTACACATTTTCCAACCCCCAAGGGTGACTGGGGAATAGAAGTATGGTCACCATTGGTCTTCCTCCGACCGGCAGTAAAACCCGTGCTAAAGTGGGGCGTCCGTTTGGCTGTGCAGGATGTACAAATTTGCAGCCACGTCCGGTCAGAATGGGGACGTTAAATCCGATGCCTCGTGTTAAGAGAGTGCCACGCTCTTTGCACGTTAAGAACCCTTGCAACAACTCTTTGAGGGGTCTGTAGGTGACCTGTTGCAAGGCTAAATTTCTGTCCCTATCCAATATACCCTCATTTCCCGTGGCAGTCCAAATTTCTCCGACCTTAATCCCTTAATCTATTACAGAACCTACCTATTGTATTTATTGTGAACTTGTTCTCGTCCTGAATATGCATGAAATATTTGCCACTGGACGTTAAGCAACCAACAATCAATCAATCAATCACATTTTCCATGCTTTTTTGTTCATTTGCACAAAAAATAATGTCATCTGCCTGATCAACAAAACACAATCCACACCTATCTTACCTGGTTTACAATAACTATGAAGTTTCAAATGTTCTGGAAGTTTGGATCCATTACATAATACTTCAAGATTGACATCTGTCTTTTTATTTTCTGTATTAATTTCACATTTCTCGTCCACCTTCTTATTCAGTAAACTACATGTATTGGGATTTTCAGGAAATTCTTGTACAGGTTGTACTGTCATCATAGCAGATTGCATAATTGGCCTTACTGGGCCTCTTATATGTTGAATTTTACTCTTTAATGTTTCATAATTCAAATTACTATTTTCATAATTCTTTAATTTGTTGAAAGGACATTTTGACCACTGTCCTTACATGCCTTATTCATATGTCTCTCAACATTTCCATCTGCATTTTATCCTAAAGACTTGCTCAGATCATAAGCTATACCAGATGTTCGTTTTTGCCATTGATATGGTTTTATTATTTTACCATGTTGCATTCTCACATGGTATGTTAAAGCACTAATAGCAGAAAATGAATCTCCACACATATTGCACCAACAAAAGATGTTTTTAATGATTTAAAATACTGGTACAAAATACATTTCTTTCCTTTTTTCAAAATCTAGTGTACCCAAAGCATTATTTTTGCTTGTGCCTCTCATTTCATTTTCTTCATTACCAATTGTAAAATTGTTGAAAGCTTCTGTTTTTATATTGGTACACTCCATATCTAAGCTCTGGTCATGTTGAACAATCTCTGAAAGTATACTTTTGCAAGTAAGTCATTTAACTAGATGTTTCACAATTACTTCTAAGAAGGTGTGCTTAAAATGGTAAAGATTTTAAACGATTTTGCATTTTCTTTGCATTTACTACAATTTCTAAAATGTAAATTTAGCTGGTGTTTCCAACAAAAATATCAACCAAGTAGAGTAATATATACTGGTAATTCGTCATATTGCAGAAATTTGAAACAATTAAATTTAGGCATTTTAGGGCCAATTTTGGCCCAAACTGTACTTTCTCCTTACTAAACATATACATCATTCCACAACAAAATAAATCACAAAAAACATCTAAATTGTCAACATATGGGATTCAACCATGGCGAAGAGTCTATACCACCTTTCAAGCTCTAAATCCACCTCTCAGTCAAGAAAGTTGTGAATAAATCTAACAGAAACTTCAATCTGTCATAATCATTAACACTTTAAAACAAAAGCAAAAAGATATAAACAAAGACAACCATTGAAAACTTCCTTCATTATAGATAAAAGCATATCAAAACATGGCAAGGATAATATAGCTTATTGAGAAATCAACTCTTCCCTATTTTCAACACTCCTGACCCTTTAAACATTTTAGCTATTGCCATACTTTGAGTCTGTCATCATCTGACAACTTTTGAAAATTTCAATTCTTCTCTGAAAGTATTATAATATTGGTTATTTATGTTTGACAAGTACAATCTATGACAGCGACTGTAGGGGGTTTATAAAGTTCTCCAACTTGTTTATTTCATTGGATTTTAAAACGACTAGCTACTTACATGATTTAAAATTATTTTACATGGAACTTAATATTGCTACTAGAACTTTTTTTCCGTTGATTACATGTATTTACCACCAATTAGTGATTTTGGATTTTAAAATAATCAAATTTTTCATGGTTATGAATTCTTACAAACAGCATTACCGATCTGCCACCTAGAAACATCATGCAGCAGCATATCACTGCTTTATATATACCACCAGAGATATCCAAGATATTACATTAAAATAACAAGCTTAACAAGTCAAAATAGAATGCAAAGCTACAAGAAGCTGGGCATAGGTTCCAAATAAAGAAAATCAATTTATCCGTCTTTTTTGAAAATCAAATTAAAGCATTTTTTTATAGATAATGTTACACAATTAATTACACATGCATTGTGAAATGAAAAATAAAGAAAAATATTTCTCTCATTGTGATTTTTCTCCTGTTACATAATTTAAAAATTTACAATAATCAATTTAAGTGGAGATATTTCCATGTTTTAAAGCATGACTAACATGTAATTACATGTACTGATATTTATGAAAAGTCATTCGCCATTTACATACCTTGCAGCTGTTTCTGTTTCTTGGTTCATATAATCTTCTTGATCTATATCTTCAGTGTCATCTTCACCCACAGTAAAGCATTCCATATGAAGTGGTTCGTTTTCATCATCTAATTGTTCCGGTCTAGATTCATTTATATTAGTTTCCTCTGACTGAACATGCTGAAGGTCTCGGAAATCTATTTCTGTTATGTTAATTTTGGTTCCACACTGTGATTTATTGGTAAGTTCAGACATATGTTTGCCATGTTCCACTGTACTGGTATAAACAGTTTCTGATGTACTATTTTCTAACATTAGAATGTCACTGTTTCTTGGTTCTATAAAATGTTACAAAGAACAATGCATATATGTTACAAATTATTTTTACAAATTTTTTGCTCCCTCAAATGGCTGAGCCATAAACTGGTAATCAAAACCCCTGAAAAAACTAAGAAATGTGGAATGTACCAATTAGATATGAGTATCTTCTGATGACATAATGTGTCCAACCAATTCAAAAGAGAAGCCTAACAGCCTGATCAAGGTTATTAGCATTAATAAAAAGAAAAAAGAAAAGAAAAATGTGTCTGAGGACACGCATGCCCCTGCTCAAGCTTCAAACAAATGAAAATAGGACAGACGGACGGACGGAAGGGCGGAAGGTCAAGGGTTACACTTAATGCCCCCATTGCCTTCTGCGGAAGCATAAAAATTATGGCAGACAGCAACTAATGATAATATGATTTATATAACTAGCTACTGGCTTTGAACATGGCTACTGGCTTCGGACAGGCATATAAAGAATGTGTGCTTATGTAAAACTGGTTTAACCCCCATTACATTTGGTGCATGTACAACAACAGGCTATCATATTGAACCATTTGTTGTTTTGTTTTGGTTTGTACATCTTCTTGTTTTATTGTAAGGAGGGTGCAAATGTCAAAGTATAGTTCAATAGGCATTATAGGTGTAATAACTTTATGCCATGAGCAAGGAGTAAAATGTTAACAAATATAAAGCTTACCATGTTAAAATGAGCACAGAACATGGCATGATAGAATTATTAGGATTCTCAAAAAGAAAGTTTTAACTTTTGTACTTCAAAGAAGTCCTATAAGATACCTTCAAAAGGCAATCATTTTGATTTATTGAGGCCAAAATGATAGAGAAAACCAACTGTTTCTATAATTAAAAGATGAACAGATACATGTCGACTTTCTTTTAGAATGATTTTTTTAATTTAATTTCCTAGCAAGCAACACCAACCAAAACAAATGGCCATTTTGATCTCCAGTGTTGTTCAAATACAACTGACGTTGCAATTCTAATTATGACTTTCATCACAGGCACCCTGTGTTCAATTGCAATTAGAGAATGGCTTTGTTTACAAAGTGAAAAAAGGTTATACTGTAAACCAACTAATTTATTTTCGCGATAAATTCCCACATAGAAAAATAACGCGAATATAAATCGTCGCGAATGTGTAAAACTTGGATCTTTCCATATTTAATGACGTCAAGTTAATTTGAAAATCACGAAATTAAATCGCCGCGAAATTGGCTAGAAAAGGCTAAACGCAAAATAAAGTATCCGCGAAAATAAGTTGGTTTACAGTTTTAGTTGTCGTTTGTTGATGTGATTCATAAGTGTTTCTCGTTTCTTGTTTTTTATATAGATTGGTTTTTTTTCCCGTTTGAATGGTTTAACACTAGTAATTTTTGGGGCCCTTTGTAGCTTACTGTTCGGTGTGGGCCAAGGCTCTGTGTTGAAGACCGTACTGTGATTTAATGGTTTACTTTTATAAATTTTGACTTGGATGGAGAGTTGTCTCATTGGCACTCATACCACATCTTCTTATATCTATTAGAATCAATATAAGATGAAATAATTATTTTAACACTATATTCAGCTATTAAATTACCAAACAAATCACTGACAAGTTCCCTAAATAGTTGTGAGGTAGGTTCATCCAAGGATGTAAGCCTTTCACTTATCCACTCCTCCAATAAGCAATACATATTCTCCAGCTGTTTGCTATTTTCCTAATTTGTTCCAGATTTCTGATGTCAACAAGGGTAAAGTCAGTCTGTGTGGAAGAGTTCTTCCTAAATGTGTCTTACAAATTCTACACTTCCATAATCCTGATCCATGGGTGATATGTCTGTATATTAAAAAAATCCATACATGTAACAAGATAAACATAAGATTTTACATTAATACTTTGTGTTATCTAATTAAAGTATCTGGAGCATCTCACAAAAATCTTTCAGTAACTGTGTTTTCAAATATGTATCAAGAATCCAACATAAAATGACTTCTTTTTATACAACATAATATTCTGAAAAATTTCATTTTGTAACAACACTTTACATTTAATTTTAATATGCTACCCCTTTTTGATGATGGCATTTCATATCATTTATAAGATGATAAAAATTTCTTCAAATTATCATCTGAATTTGTTAAACAGGAAAAGTTTTATGAAATAATACAAGTTTGAATCAAGTGTTTGGAGGAGGAAAGGGGCGTATAGTGTCTGTAATGTTTCAAAAATTGTCGAGTGTATGGAGGCAAATTTTTCTTTGACAATTTAATCCAGACAATGATATTGTATCATGCTATAAAGAACTACTTGGAACATTTTTGAAAATTGTTGTATGAAGCTGTAGCATTTTTTTCACTTTTTCAAATCAATATACAGCAAGGATTTATATTTTCTAAATATAAGTGTAACAAGCAGTACTTCTCAAAGGCAGTTATATTATTTATCAGAATAGTTAACATCTATTATCCTACATCCTGTCGATGCTATGTACTTATATTTTGGCATATCACAAGGTCATGCTTTTCTCAGACTGTTGATGATGTCTTTAAATTACATGAACTTACCTGTTGGATGTGTACTGATTGATACTTTAGTCTCAGAGAACATGATTTATACATTAGTTGTTATTGGAACTAGCTTTCAACTGTCATGACCGAGTACTCTTAGATTGGTACTTTGTGTCTTTTATTTTTATGTTATTTGTTTTTGAGCTTCATGCCAATTCAATGAGTCGAGCCATTTCCAACTGATTTTTATAGTTTGTTCTTATGTTGTGCTGTTACATCATTGTCTCAAGTTAGGGGGAGTGTTTGAGCGCGCTCACAAAACATTCTGTTTGTGCCTATCTCAAGTCAGCAGACTGCCATTCAGTGGTTGTCATAGGTTACGGTCTTTTTTTTGCTTATTGTTTTGTCATAAATCAGGCTGTTAGTTGTTTGTTTGAATTCCACTGTTCCACATTTTTCATGTTTGCCTATTGTAGCTTTAAAAGTTATGGATTTTTCTCATTGTTGAAGGTCGTAGTGTGACCTTTAATTGCATATATCATCGTCATTTTAACTCTGGTGGATAGTTGTTTTATTGGAAATAATACCATGTATATATATCTCTTTATTTTTATACTGATCATGTAAGTTTGATAAAATTTTAAGTTAGTCATATCATGAAACTTCAAATTTAAAAAAAAAGTTGAATATTTTTTATATACTTGAATGGCTATGTTTAACTATAAAACAAGTGTACATCATGTACATTAACATGATTAACTTATCAAAATCTTCATTAATGTACTACAATTGAATTATTGTCTTCCCGTACACCAATTCAACAATATTTTCCAATATGCAGTGACCTTAACTACAGGACAATGCAGGACCTCTCATTAAAATTTTGGACACATCACAGTTTGAAAACAGATGTGGACTTGAAGGTAAAAAGTAATAACTGATTCTTAAGAACAAATTAAATACACCAAATCATATAACAATTGTTAAGGAAAAGTTGAATGAACAAATGGAAAGTATGGAAAATATAAAAAAAATATCATGGTTCTAATAATTCACTTATTTTTCATGTCTTCCAAGTGCTCTGCATTGACTGTTTATCAATGTCACAATCTGGTAAACTTCGGCAACAAACTCTAAAGTTAATTATCATTCGATCAACAGCAGTATATCCAAAACTCTGTCTGACCGACAAAATGTCAGACAAAATTCATTCGGTCAAACAGAAATTTTTAGATTATTTAGTTGAAAATATAGTAGAAAAGGTCAAATTTCTTTTTCGGACAGACAAACTCTAAAATAGTTTGACACAGACTGCAACAGTCCTTGAATAAAATATCATTTGTTGATAATAAATTTATAGTGAAAAACATGCATACAGGACTTAGTTTAGTATATATGGATGCATTGGTTCAATAATTTGGATAATATCACGATTACAAGAAACTCGTTTCATATGACTTTAACTAATTAAGGTTTTTAGTGACTTCACAGTGTCAACGTATATTTGTTCCGCCTAACAGAAGTTCCACTGGAAACTTTGTTATAAACAATGTCATAATATCTGTTCCTGTTGGAACAAATATTCTATACCATTTATTCCGTTAGGAACATATACTGTAATTTCTATTCCAGTGGAAATAATATTCCAGAATATCTTTTCCATTTGGAACTTATATTATGATTATGAAGGAACTTCTATTTCGTGACAACAGGAACATGTTTGACATTAATTTATCACGCTGTAGCGTAGTTGTCGTTTCAAATACAGAAACAGAAAGACACGTCACAATGTATATGTGCATAATCTAAAACAAACAGATGAAATTCACAATAATATCTTAACCCTGAGACTACTGTGTTTTCGTAGTCTCAGCTTAACCTAATATAATACACCTTATCGCTATTTGTCCGCCATTACTTGATATCACACAGGTTCCCGTAAAATTTTGACGTCATAAAACAAAATATCTGACGCCACAATGGAAAAGTGATTGTTGTATGCGTCAAAAGTTCAAGCGGCCGGGTCAGCCGGGATTAGCGATAAGGTGTATTTTAAAGCTCCAACATGTCCAAGCCATTTGGGATTTTAGTAAGGTCTTGCAAATAATATATACATAAAAATATTAACATTTCTAAGGAGTTATGAGATCACTTCAAACCGTGTAAACAAGAAATTCGCATTTAATCTTTCTTACATTTTCTTAAATTGTCAGATCTCATTGAGAGAGGGGAGAGAAGCATTTGTTCCTTCCTAGTTCCGTTCCCAAGGTCTATATGCACTTTGGATCGACCCGTTCGAGAAAAAATAAAAATAAATTAAAATGTAAATGTTTTAAAAAATATGCAAACTTCGTGTACACTGGTTATTTAAGGGCGAGGCTTATCGAGTTCAAGTTTCGTACTCGAAACTATGCTCACCTTTTTAGGTTGTCTAGAATTTTGTTGACATCACGTGACGTATCATATGGTAATTTCTAAAAAACTGCAAACGACAGGAAATAGAAAGCTTCTTATTAATTTCCCATGACGTATATATAATGTTTCGTACTTAACTAATGGAGAACGCCACCAGCAGGCTTGAGAGTCAAAAGGTATAACTCAAACACTGTAAATTTGTAAACTATAAATCAAAAGTTGATATCCTGCATACATCAATGTCATCATGCTTTAGCCTTTACCATAACATACATGTAAGGTTAAATTGCTGAAGGGTCCCCCTCCTAAATTCAGTCAGAGCTAACTAATGTTATGAGTCAAAAGCAGATTCAGACATAAATAGTCTAAATCTGCTTTTGACTCATAGAGCCTAGAGGTCTAAATTTGTAGGTTTCAAGATTTGTCTCCCTTTAATTTAAGACAAATTATGACTTCAATAAGTCAGTATGTGTTAAGCAAGAAATATTTGAACTGAATTAAAAAGTTGCAAATATTGACTCCTACAAGTTCCCAAATTGGTCAACTTCAAGACCCAAGCACATTTATAAAAAGGTCAAGCATCTACATGACTCATTTTGAGTGTAGATACTCCAGCATGATGAACAGCTAAAAACTTCCAAGTACATGTATGTACAGTTAAAGTAAAGTCTGAATGTCCAGTTAAAATGTAACGTGTTCTATATTAGTTGTGTAATAGTGCATGTTGACACGCTTACGGCTTGAATAGCGTGTCAAAAATGATCCACAGATGGGGAAGCTCGGATATCTGGATGTATGTTATTCTAAGATATAATGGTGACAGGTATAAATGAATATTTGAAGAGTCAAATTTCGTTTGTACCTGTCTGATGTTGTGTGCAATTGAGCCACAGGTCCTGGTGTTGTGGAATTGTAGCAGGTGGTGGACAGGAACTTCTACAACACTGTTCACGATTTTATAGAACATTACTACTCTGTTCCTGGCTCTTCTGTGTTCTAGTGGTTACCAACCTAATTGTTGAATCATGTTTGTGACACAGCCAGGGTCCCTTGTGTAGTAATTCCCTGTGACAAATCGTGCAGCCAGGCATTGTACATTTTATAGTTCCTGGATTTGCTTTGCTGGTTTGGATCCCAGACAGAGCTGGCATACTCCAGGACAGGCCTCACTAATGACTGTTGTGTAAGCCTGGCTCTTTACATGTACCTCCTTGGGACACTTCCTGAGATTCCTGCACAGGAATCCAACTGTTCTGGTGGCTTTTGCTGTTGTCTGGTTGATGTGCTCTCAACACGACTGATTCTTACTGATGTACATGTAGATGCCAAGTTACTTCCCACCTAGAACGCTTTCAATGGTATGACCATGAAGATGGTAGCCAAACTTAATCAGGTTGTGTTTCTTGCAGATGTGTATGGTGGTACATTTCTGAGGATAGAATACCATCTGCCAATCTTTTTCCCATTTATCCAGTTGTGTTAAATCCTCTTGCTGTTTGATGGAGTCACTGATAGATCTAGTAGGCAGATAAATCAGGCAACCATCAGCAAACAATTTTACACTGGATTTGACAGATTCCAGGAGGTCGTTTATAAAGACGAGAAAGAGAAGGGGTCCCATGACTGTAACCTGTGGCACTCCTGTAACTACCTGTTTCATCTGATGATGTACCCTCAACTAGTACATGTTGTTTCTAATTGTTAATGAAGCTCTCAACCAATATCCAATTTATGGCAATACAGCTTATCACTATTATTCCAATCTAGATAGATAAGTTCTGAAATTACACAATTTATTGTGCATAAAACTTTTCAACGAGGCATACTTTAAGATCGTAAACACTTCAAAAAAAACATTTTTATGACTTTAATGTAAACAAGACAACTTGCCCCACTACCAAATCGCCCCAGACAAAATCATCCCACTTTCTACCAACTGGCCCCACTCTTGTTTACCATATAGCCCCTTTTATGAAAATAGGTAAAATCCAGATGAATTTAGTCCTGCCCACTCGCCCCACTTATGTACATGTGCAAACTTATCATCTGAGAATAAAATTATGTAAACACCCATGATTATTGCTTTATCTTGTAAAACAGTGTTTTATATTAACCAGAAAACAGACATGAAGACCTGTTGGTGACCTTCTGCTGTTGTCTGTTCTATGGTCGGGTTGTTGTCTCTTTGACACATTCCCCATTTCCATTCTCAATTTTATCATTAAACAATTACAATGGTCAATAAGGTCACAGAAATGCTTATAATTACTTCTTTCTGCTTTGTGTCTACCAAAATAAAAGAAGTAAAAACAAGATGCCTTATTTCAGTAGGATTTAATTATTTTTTCATAAGTGGGGCGAGTTGGCAGACCTTTATTCATTGGGATTAAACAGCTTTTCATAACTGGGGCGAGTTGTCAGGCCTTTATTCATCTGGATGTATTTCCTTTTCAATAGCACGGTGAGTTGGTAGGTCTAAAATCATAGGGATTAAACTGCATTTCATAAGTGGGGCAAGTTAGCAGACATTTAGTCATTAGGATTTAACTCCTTTTCAGTAGAGGGGCAAGTTGGTTAAAAGTTGGGGGAGTTGGTCTGGGGTGATTTGGCAATGGGGCGAGTTGTCATGGATTCATTTTTAATTTGTGTTTCAAAAATTTGGATCATAATCTATTAAAATTTCAAAACTTTTTCCAGGACTTGAAGTTTCTCAGCTCATTACTGATGACCTTTAATTTGTTTTTGCAACACTTGACACAAACAGGACGTTGTCTATAGGTAATATACTGTATTTTTTTCAGGATTGGTCTAGATAGCGATAACGTGTTTAGACCATTTTCATACTACCGACTTCTGATCCTGGAAGCTTATAATTTTTAAGATTACCTACATTTTCTACACTGTGGTAGGACATGCTGGTACTCTGTCAAGTGAGAGCAACTAAAAGAAGTAAAATCTAGCTTACAATCTGTGCAATTTGGGGAAAAAATAACAAATAATAAAGTAATGAAAACACTAATACATTTGTATTTAATATTACCTTGTGCATTAATACAAGAAAAATGTATCTGGTAGTTCCACAACATAATCCCAATAGCAATGCCAATTAACATAGTTTTGAATGAACTGCAATAGGTGGAGATACATGTACCTAGTCTTTACCTTTGTGTTTACATCATCAACATCGCAATGTTGACAATAGCTGGTCAACATTCTGCTTATATCATTTGTATATTAAATGAATAATTCAATGGTTTAAATTAATAATAATTTTCGTTTATTATGTAATACTTATGAACTTTATTATGTTCATTTGCTATTTATCTGTAAAAGTTTTGTGCATAAGAAACTAAAAAAGAAAAAAAAAAGAAATTCATTTAATTAAAATACTCATATTCATGAAATAGTTATGTTCTTTAGGCATTTTTACTGCCATATTACTGCCAAAATTAATTTATTTTTGTTAACACTTTTAGTGTTTGAAATAATTGTTTGATATTAGCAATAATAGAAAAATTTAAGAGGAAAGTCTCCTTTAATTGGCAATAACTCCTATAATTAGTCATAAATGTAAACAATGTAAACATGATATCATCAATACATTGTAAATATCGTGAAGTTAACGATGTAAAAAGTATATAAGAGTTCATACAATATAAATGATGTAGACATGATATCGTGAACACTGCTATGTAAAGGATGTAAACACTGATATTGATAATACATTGTATACATCGCAATGTCAATGATGTAAACAGTATGGTATTGTATCATTGGCAAGTATACCTCATCTCCTTATTTTTATATAAGAGTTGTTACAATGAAAACAATGTTGACACAATATCATGTAAGTCTTGTTAATATAGGGATGTCAACAAGATATCTTTACATTATAAACATCGCAATGTTAACAATGTAAACGAGGTAAACAGTATATAGGAGTTCTTACAATGTAAATGACGTTAACACGATATTGTGTCAACATTGTTAATCTCGTATTAATGGTATAGAACCACTAATTCAGGCCCGGTCTGAAAGAACATACAAGAAAGTAGTCATATGTTAAACAAAATAGTTCCTACGCATAGCTGTATCTTTGTCAATAGCAGGATTATTTGGTTTGTTTTAGTATCAAATGAAAGCTTGGGGACTTGGAATCACTGTAGAACCCTTGTTGAAAATTTTAATTGAATAATAAAGAAGTATATGAAATTTTAATAGGAGGGCTCATTTGGCCTGTTGTTCAGATCAGAAGTTCCTGTTTTTGTACTATCAAACTTCCAGGAACCAGTACGCTCTAATATGCAATTAAAGTTATGTTGATTTTTTCAGCACAAGACAGGATAAGGTACAGTTTTGACATGAAATAACTGCCACTTTATTTGAACTTAAGATAAAGAAGCCTTTAATGCTTGAAATTGCAGAATTTAACATAGAAAGCAATGGGGCTATGAATTAGTGGTTTTATACCTATTACTGACAGACATGTGAAATTCTTTTTTTAGAAATCATACACTTTACAGTGAAAATTGGTCACTTTTGTTGTCAGAAATCATGTTACATTATTTTTTTATGTAACAATTATGTTAGTGTCAAATTACAGCCCTCAAATTGCTACAATAAGGTAATTTAGCCTTTTTTGGTCATTTAGCATACACACAGTTAAGATTTTACCTGAAATTTTAATTTTTGGATTATCTAACACTGAAACCAATGAAACTTGTATATTATGACTAGTTTATAGTATAAATATTGTTTTTGGTCAAATTATCTAGTGAGTGTTCATGTTTAATTGTGTTTCTTAGTGAATTATTTATTTCAAAGAAAACTGGTGTATACTTATATAGGAATTCCAAAATACTTGAAATGCATTTTATAACCATTTTAGCAAGTTGTCTAGCTTAGATATACATAAATTGCTCCTGCTGATCCATGTTTATATATAAAAGTATGTTCTTTTACCAAATCATTCTCCTTTTCCAACATGTAGAAAAAAGGGGGGGGGGACAAAATTATCATTTATATTGTATGTTTGGACCACTGTATTTATATTCAAGGAAGAATCTCTGATAAAAATAAGACATATAGGTAAGAACACTGTTACTTGAGTAGATATTAACAAATCAGAAGTGGTAAAAATTGAAAAAGTGTCATATCTGTCACTATTAGTATCCATATGTAGTTTTCTTTGTTTAACGCATATGTTACTACCAGTCTAATTTGAGCTTGAATTTAGTGATATAGTGTTTTGACAAAAGCTTTATGTGTTTTTCTATGCTAGAAATAGATCATAGAAGGAAATTAAGTCAAGCAGAAGTCAATATAACAAGTTTGGTGCTGTTATAGGTATAGAACCACTAATTCAGGCCCGGTCTGAAAGAACATACGAGAAAGTAGTACATATGTTAAACAAAATAGTTCCTACGCATAGCTGTTTCTTTGTCAAAAGCAGGAATATTTGGGTTGTTTTAGTATCAAATGAAAGCTTGGGGACTTGGGATCACTGTAGAAGCCTTGTTGAAAGTTTTATTTGAATAATAGAGAAGTATTTGACATTTTAATAGGAGGGCTCATTTGGCCTGTTGTTCAGATGAGAAGTTCCTGTTTTTGTACTATCAAACTTCCGGGAACCAGTACGCTCTAATATGCAATTAAAGTTATGTTGATTTTTTCAGCACAAGTCAGGATAAGGTACAGTTTTGACATGAAATAACTGCCACTTTATTTGAACTTAAGATAAAGTAGCCATTAATGCTTGAAATTGCAGAATTTAACATAGAAAGCAATGGGGCTATGAATTAGTGGTTTTATACCTTAATGTAAACGATATATACACAATATAAACGATGTAAACAGTATATAAGAGTTCTTGAAATGTTAACGATGTTGACACCATATCATGTTAACATTTTAAATATCATGATGTCGACAATATTGTTTTTAGATTGTGCACTGGTCATGGATAGTTTGTTTCAAATCTATTAAAGCGGAATTGCAAAATAATATTTCCCTATTAGCTGTGTTTGCTTCATTTGTGCAAGTCAATAATTCAACTCATTTTAATTATTCATGCAAACTTCAATTTAACCCATAACTGGGATGGGCTTTGCATGGTCTGAGCATGTTTAGTTATTACAAAGAAAAGAATGTCAACATTGAAAAGTGGAACAAGGCAGCCACCAGGAAGATCCCTTACATTGACTATTCTGCCCACAAAAAAATCATTCAAACACAGGTAAAACGATGATTTACATATTTGTTTAATCTATGACATGAAATCAAACAGACCTAGAAAAATAGTCGTCGTACGATTTCGTGTGCTTGCAGTGTATTTATATTTATGTTTAAACCAGGTCATATGACATTAAGAATTCTTCGGAGATCAAGTTGATGGTTAATTAGATGGCATCTATTCTAAAATGCCCACGAAATGTTGATACATTATTAAGAGTCCATGCATTGATAATTAATTCTTTAGGATTTTTATTGTAATTTGGATAGACTTTTATTAAAGTATGTTGTAAATAAATATGAGATTTTGAGTCGAATTGTTGAACATGAATTTGACAGCTAATGTCCTGTAGGTTTGATTTTAGCTGTTTTCACCTTTACCATTCAAGAGTTATGGTACTTGATTGTTGGAAAAATTCAAAATTTTGTGGTTTGCCGATAATAAATGGAGAATCCTTTTTTGAAATTGATTGAAATTTTAATGGAATGTTTGGACCACTAAACAAAATCATGATCTCTCAGTTGCTGTAGGCAGGGGTATCTATGATCACTAGATCACCTCTCTTAGTTTTAGACAATCAACAGACTTTGAGTTACTGACATTTGTTATTATGCATTCTGTCATTTGGAACTTGATGTGCATCAGGTTTATTTGAAGGATTTTTATGTTAAGTCATGTGGTGGTAACAATCAGTTTTTATTTCTAAATGTATTATATTGAGTATACAATGTAGGTGTGAAAGTTACTTAGTACATCTATAGATATCCAAAATCAAATCCAATTTGTTATCTTCATTTGTATAACTTTGTTATCATTTGTACAATAATTGTTACATAGATGACTTTACATATGACCAGAATCAAATTTTGTTGCATTATCTGATTCAGAAGTGTGTGTAATTGGTATAAACACAGATATTTACATTTTTTCATTAACAACAGAACATGATAAAATAGTTATGCCACAGGTATGTAATTAAAAATTGACAGCTTGTAAATCTGTGTGCCTTTGATTAAGAGTACATTTTTGTATTCAGTTAGTGGGTTGTAGTGCCACAATTGTATTCTATATATTTTTTTCACTCTAACTGCAATGAAGGTAAAGTGACAGGCCAGCATAATATCAAACTATTTTATATATAATTTAACCCAAGTGAGTAGTCGATTATGTTATGTCTGGCTGAATTTTTGTTTTTTGTATAATGTACAAGTACAAACATCAACAATTTATATTAGCAAAAGTTACATGCTCATTAATTGACACCTGATGAAGATGTCAGATGGCTGAGAGCCTAGTTCCAAATAAATTTAATCTCATATGTTCATGTATACAATTTGGAATCTAAATATAAACCAGTCATCATAATTTTGTTTTTGAAAGTTTCAAGTTATATATATATATATATATATTATTTTAAAAAGACTGCAAATATTGAGCAGAAAAGGGGAGATAATCAATGGAAAAGTTTATGATTTGGTTTCATTGATTAAGAAATTGAACAGCTAATAAACACTGATGAATGAGGAAACTTTACAGATGGATAAACAGATATTCTTTATTGATTTTTTTATGTTTATATTGGACAAGTATAAAAATGAAAACTTTTATTGCAATGTTCTCGAACTATCATACATTTCATATCCTTGATATGTTGATTAATTAATGTTTGTTGTGCATTTTTGAATAATTTCTAAAAAGGTATAATGTTTACTATGCTTATTTTTAGAGAAAAGCCCAAAAATATTCATTAAATACTGTTCCTAAACTTTAGTCTAATATTTTGCAGGACAATCATTTTATGAATTTATATAGGTTTGCTGACATTCGCCCTATTCCACATGTGGTTCAAGTCTTGGCAAATACTTCGTAAAAAATACTAAAGTATTTGTGGTTTGTTTCTAGTTAAAACAATAATTTTTTTTTTATATTTTTTTAGATAGTTATACTATGGGACTTAATTCTATTTTTCAAATATTCTTAATGAAACTTAAATCAACTCAACATATTTGCTTGAATATACTCCTTTTATGATTTTTAATATAATAGTATTTTTTCAGTCTGTGTTAGACATTTCTGTTAGAAATCCAGTGACTCACAACACCTGGGATAAAGGAAGATATACAAGTTATGAGATTGCTGTAAATGTAAGATTATACTTTTTGAAATTCTAGTTTTTATACGATTTCAAAAAAATTTTTGTGGTCGTATATTGGTATGACGTTGGCGTCGTCGTCGTCTGGCGTCGTCCGGCGTCGTCTGAAGACACATTGGTTTTCGCACTCTAACTTTAGTTTAAGTGAATGGATCTCTATGAAATTTTACCACAAGGTTCAATACCACAAAAGGAAGGTTGGGATTGATTTTGGGGGTTATGGTACCAACAGTAAAGGAATTAGGGGCCAAAAATAAGCATTTTTGTAACTTCTAGACATAACTTGTGTGTTAGTGTATGGATCTCTCTGACATTGTACCACAAGGTTCCATATCACAAAAGGAATGCTGGGATTGATTTTGGGGGTAATTGCCTCAAAATTTTAGGAATTAGGGGCCAAAAAAGGGGCAAAAAACAAGCATTTTTCTAGTTTCATGACAATAACTTGTGTGTAAGTGTATGGATCTTTCTGAAATTGTACTACAAGGTTCCATATCACAAAGGGAAAGCTGGAATTGAGTTTGGGGGTAATTGGCGAAACGTTTAGGAATTGGGGGCCAAAAAGGGGCCAAAAATAAGCATTTTTCTAGTTTCCAGACAATAACTTGTGTTCAAGTGTATGGATCTCTCTGAAATTGTACTGCAATGTACCATACCACAAAGGGAATGCTGGGATTGATGATGGGGGTAATTGCCTCAATATTTTAGGAATTAGGGGCCAAAAAGGGGCAAAAAACAAGCATTTTTCTAGTTTCAGGACAATAACTTGTGTGTAAGTGTATGGATCTTTCTGAAATTGTACTACAAGGTTCCATATCACAAAGGGAAACCTGGGTTTGAGTTTGGGGGTAATTGCCCTAAACGTTTAGGAATTTGGGGCCAAAAAGGGGCCAAAAAACACATTTTCCTAGTTTCCAGACAATAACTTGTGTTCAAGTGTATGGATCTCTCTGAAATTGTACTGCAAGGTACCATACCACAAAGGGAAGGCTGGGATTAAGTATGGAGGTGATGAATCATAAGGGGGTTCAAAAAATTGGGGGGGGGGGGATTTTTTTTTTTTTTCCCTTTTTTTTCTTTTTTTCCTTTTTTTTTTCTTTTAAAATTTTCCATTTTAAGTTGGTTATTTCTGATTTATATTTAAAAGCAAATAATTATGATATGGTAGGAGATACACACCAAACAGGATGTGTAAATTATTATATAATAAGTATTGTGCAATAGCAAGAAATTTTCAATTGCACAGTATTGCACAATAGCAAGAAATCTTCAATTGCACAGTATTGCGCAATAGCAAGAAATCTTCAATTGCACAGTATTGCGCAATAGCAAGAAATATCAAATAGCACAATATTGCGCAATAGCAAGAAATTGTCAATTGTACAGTATTGCACAATAGCAAGAAATATTTAATTGCACAGTATTGTGCAAAAGAAGATACTTCGTATAAATTGCTTATTTCTTGACCAATTTCAATGGGGTTTTATTCTTGAATTTTTGGGGTTCTTTAATATGCTGAATCTAACCGTGTATTTAGTTTTTGGATTTTGGGCCCCGTTTTTAAATTGGTCCACATTGAGGTCCAAAGGGTCCAAAATTAAACTTTGTTTGATTTCATCAAAAATTGAATTATTGGGGTTCTTTGATATGCCGAATCTAACCGTGTATTTAGATTCTTAATTTTTGGTTCCGTTTTCAAATTGGTCTACATTAATGTCCAAAGGGTCCAAAATTAAACTTAGTTTGATTTTAACAAAAATTGAATTCTTATGGTTCTTTGATATGCTGAATCTAAACATGTATTTAGATTTTTGATTATGGGCCCAGTTTTCAAGTTGGTCCAAATCGGGTCCAAAATTAAACTTTGTTTGATTTCAACAAAAATTGAATATATGGGGTTCTTTGATATGCTGAATCTAACCATGTAATTAGATTTTTTATTTTTGGGCCCCGTTATCAACTTTGTCCACATTGAGGTCAAAAGGGTCCAAAATTAAACTTTGTTTGATTTCATCAAAAATTGAATTCTTGGGGTTCTTTGATATGCTGAATCTAACCATGTATTTAGATTTTGGATATTGGACCATAATAGGTGAATGTCCAATTTAAAATTTTTAAGTTCTTAGACCACATTCATTCTGTGTCAGAAACCTATGCTGTGTCAAATATTTAATCACAATCCAAATGCAAAGCTGTATCAAGCTTGAATGTTGTATTCATACTTGCCCCAACTGTTCAGGGTTCGACCTCTGCGGTCGTATCAAGCTGCGCCCTGCGGAGCATTTTATTTAAATATTTTTTTGTATTCATTGACATTGTTTATATTTATACATTTTTGTTCATTTGATGTTTCATTACTAAATGCTTCCCTTTATAAAAAAAAACCAATTGATCTATTATTTTAAGGATTTATGTTTAGTTAAAATGAATACTAGTATGTAAATTTCTCAGTAACAATATACATATTTTTAAGTAACAATGCATGGACTTTATTTGGTCTAACATTTCTCGGTCACACAGGATTATTTAGTCTAAATAGAATAGGTTTGATTATAGATAGCTGACAGTAGTCATTTGACCTTGAAATGATCAATTTCATGGTTTCCATCATGCTTCACCTGTTTGATTCATAAATTACTTTGTAAAAATGAATTTCTTCTATTTTTATATGAGATATGTTAATAGTAGAACTATAATATCAGGCATGTTACGTAGCCATGATGTCTCTTCAGTAGTCAAACTTAATATTCATTGATGATATTGGAAGAGCCCCCTGGCTACATGTGGAAATATATACCATATCTCCTCATTTTTATAACTGACTACATTTCACAGTTCACAGTATTTATTATGAAAGCCAGTTGATATTTTGCTGTTGCATATTTATACGCCCGTTTACGGGACGTATTATGGTATACCGTTGACCGTCTGTCCGTCGTCAACATGTCGGTCATTAATTCAAAAACGCTTTAACCAATATGCATGAAACTTTGGTGAATATCTATTGACGTGAGCTCCCTTTCGTTTTTTATAAATTTTGGATTTACCGTTTCCGAGTTTTGGGATTTTATTCATTAAAAAAGGGGGGGATTTTCCAGTTTTCAGACAATAACTCGAAAAAAGATATCACCAATTTGCAAGAAACTTTTGTGAATTGTTCATATCTATTGAAGTGAGCTCCCTTTTGTTTTTTATAAATTTCGGATTTACTGTTTTCGAGTTTTGGGGTTTTATTCATTAAAAAAGGGGGATTTTCCAGTTTTCAGACAATAACTCAAAAACAATTTCACCAATTTGCAAGAAACTTTGGTGAATTGTTTATTTCTATCGACATGAGCTCCCTTTTGATTATTATAAATTTCAGACTATACGTTTCTGATTTATGGAGTTTTATTCATTACAAAAAGGGGGATTTTCCAGTTTTCGGACAATAACTCAAAAATGCTTTCAGCATTTTTTATGAAACTTTGGTAAATTGTTTATATCTATTTTTGTAAGCTCCCTTTTGATTTTTTAAAATTTTTGATTTTATGTTTCCCAGTTATAAGATTTTATTTATTTATAGTCTGACAACAGATTTACTAAGTATTACGCTACAGCACAGTGTATTGCACAACAGCAAGAAATCTTTCATATAACCAATTTCAAGTTCTTTGACTACATTTATTCTGTGTCAGAAACCTATAATGTGTCAAATATTTAATTACAATCCAAATTCAGACCTGTATCAAGCTTGAATATTGTGTCCATTTTTGCCCCAACTGTTCAGGGTTGGACCTCTACGGGCGTATCCAGCTGCGCTCAGCGAAGCAGTTTATTTTCTTTTCTTTCAGACATCGAATAAGTCATTCTGTTTGAGTACATCTACCACAAGAAGAAGATACTCAGAGTTTGAATGGCTGAGGAAAACTCTGAAGAATCATCACCCTTTAGTGTATGTAATTCTAGCTGAAATTCCATATTTTACAATGAGTTCCCTTTCTCACTATGTGATTTTTTTCTCTTTACTTTGTGACCAGTGCCTTCGTTTCATCTGTCTAATTTGTAAACTTTTGTTAAATGTCAATATATAGCTTGTTTGCAGAGCCACTTGGATAAATGAAACCAAATTGTCAGGAATGTATTTTTTTTTCTGATCCTGAAGCAAAAGTAAATACTATGTAATCTCTTATTGAAATTGCTCCTTGTGTAGAGTGATATTATGCATTGATATCTATTTTATGATTCTGCAAAAAGGGAAAACACACCCAAAGTCATTATCCCCACTAAAAGCTTTTTCAAGATTGAATTACAATACTGTAGGGATAATCAGATGAAGGAACACCCTAAATTTTACAATTGATCTGAACTCAAAGATGACTGCCACTCTGGAAAACAATTTAAAATAGGTCCATGGAAATATAAGAACAGCTTTTTGTTGGCAATGCTGCACAGACTGCAGAAATTTTATTTAAGTTGAATGATATGATAGTCCTAAACTTTTATGTTTAGTAATTTTATTGTTATTGTCATATCAAATTTGATCTCCATGGAACTTTGTTTTGAACCCTTGAGAAAACAAGCATATATCTTTTGTAACAAGTTTTATTCTGTTTATTTTGACAGGATGCCTCCACAATTACCACCAAAGAAATATTTTGGAGACAGATTTGATCCTAGCTTTATTGCATTCAGGATGACAGGTTTAGAAGATTTTCTGAACTAGTAAGTCATACATAATATGGACATTGGCACAGATTTTTAGCTCACCTGACCTGCCAACGTCTGTTAACTTTTACAAAATCTTTTCCTCTGAAACTACTTGGCCAATTAAAATTTAACCTTGCCACATTTACCATTAAGGTATTTAGTTTTAAATTGGTGTATGATATTCCCATCTGCCAACCAACATGGAGGATGTGGCTAAATGAAGCTTTTGTTTATTATCTTGAAAACACACCATAGATTTAGAAAATCTGACAGGGTCAGAAATTTTCAGAATGTTGAGATCTAACTACTGTTCGTTTACATGAAAACTGTCAGACAACCTCTTATAAGGATAATTGTGACTAATTTAACCATTTTGTTTTCATTATTGCCTATTATAGTTATAACTATAATAAGATACAGAGAAAGTTTTTATGGAAAAAATTATCAGCAGAACAAGATCTGCAAATTAAATAGGTCAAATTACCAAAATTGTCAGTTCACTCCTTTTTATAAGAAATGTTTATCACTTCTAAGTCGTAGTTGACCTTAATCAGATGTAAGGTGTAAAACTTTGAGGTCATTTATCAATCTATTTAAACTTGAACATTATTTTCATAAGCAATATTGTAAGCTGTTAATTTTCGACCATTACATGCTTAAGAGTTGAATCCAAAATGTATGCAACTTTAACAACAGTTGAAAAAAGTATTGAAAATGATATACAAATGTATGTGCATAAAAACATGTTTCTTTGATAATCAGGTAAATACAAATAATTTTACCTCATTTAATTTAAATTTGACATTTTTAATCTGGGTAATTTTATATTAGATTTTGACTGGAGTAATTCTAAAACCTGTCACACTATTCCAAATAAACTGTGACAATAACACAAAGCATTGAAAGCAATTAGCAAATGAACTCTTTTTAAAGTACCTTCGTGGACTGAAAATCTACCATAGAGTCTTGTTTCATCAAAAATGCATATCAATAACCATTTCTTGAATACATTTCATAAAAACAGTAGATAGATAAATTTAAAAATGTATATTTATTTGAATAAAATAAGTTCATTTATGTTTGTATAGTGTTATATGATATTCTATATTACAATTAAAGATGATAGTGAATAATCTCTAATGTATTGTAACAGTTTTACATATTTTATATCTTTACCATTTTACTGGAAATCATAGTACTGTTTCAAATTGAAAAAATTATAGACCCCAAAGAAATAAAAACACTTGACACCACCCTTTACAAAATTAAAACTAATATTATTAGTCCATCCACAAGAATGGTTATACATCTGTCGTATATCCCATTTCAAAGCAATAGATCATTAATTATAAGCAAACTTTACCCAAGAATACAATTTAAAATTATGGCTGAATACTTCTGCAGAATAGTGTTATTGAAAAACTCTCATCACATAGAATTACACTAGTCTGATGTCAGGGTTTTAGAAATGCATATATCAGTTCTTTAAGTTCAATAGTGTTATATGATATTCTACATTACAATGAAATTTAAAAACACAAATTTTATCTTTTAGTCTTTTATCAGAGAAAGTATTCTTGTCTGATACAACTATGCACTTGTTTCTGCAAACTAATCTCACCATCAAAGAAATCAAAGATTACATAGAAGGGAAAATCTCGGCTTTCTCTCTAGATAGTTTATGGAAGGCAAATGGTATAAAAGAAAACTGCAGGTATATAAATAATGAATGATCCTTGTTACTAACCAAATTTATGAAATTATAAGATTTAATTTTGTAAAATATCATAATTAATGGAATAAGGAGGTAAAATCTGTTTCTCTATAAATTTGTTGAAACCGTAGTGATCATAATTTCAAAAAAAGATATCGAGTGCTTCACAGTATCATAAATTTTCATGAGGTTTTGTAATTGTGGTTTTGTGATTTTTAGGAGAAAAAAACAGATTTCATTTTTTTTTAAGCAGATGTATTTATTATTTTTTTTTTTTGACAGATTATTTAATCAGACTTACACAGATTCTTCACGAGGACATAAAGTTGTGCACCTGCTGTTTTTATACGACCACAAAATTTTTTCGTATATTGGTATGACGTTATCGTCGTCGTTGTCGTCCGAAGACACATTGGTTTTCGCTCTCTAACTTTAGTTTAAGTGAATGGATCTCTATGAAATTTTACCATAAGGTTCAATACCACAAAAGGAAGGTTGGGATTGATTTTTTGGGGTTATGGTACCAACAGTTAAGGAATAAGGGGCCAAAAATAAGCATTTTTGTAACTTCCAGACATAACTTGTGTGTTAGTGTATGGATCTCTCTGACATTGTACGACAAGGTTCCATATCACAAAGGGAATGCTGGGATTGATTTTGGGGGTAATTGCCTTAAAATTTTAGGAATTAGGGGGCAAAAAACAAGCATTTTTCTAGTTTCATGACAATAACTGGTGTGTACGTGTATGGATCTTTAAGGAATTGTACTACAAGCTTCCATATCACAAAGGGAAAGCTGGAATTGAGTTTAGGGGTAATTGCCCAAAACGTTAAGGAATAAGGGGCCAAAATTAAGCATTTTTCTAGTTTACAGACAATAACTTGTGTTCAAGTGTATGGATCTCTCTGAAATTGTACTGCAAGGTACCATACCACAAAGGGAAGGCTTTGATTGATTTTTGGGGTAATTGCCTCAAAATTTTAGGAATTAGGGGCCAAAAAGGGGAAAAAACAAGCATTTTTCTAGTTTCATAACAATAACTTGTGTGTAAGTGTATGGATCTTTATGAAATTGTACTACAAGGTTACATATCACAAAGGGAAAGCTGGGTTTGAGTTTTTTGGCTAATTGCCCTAAACTTTTAGGAATTTGGGGCCAAAAAGGGGCCAAAAAACAAGCATTTTCTAGTTTCCAGACAATAAATTGTGTTCAAGTGTATGGATCTCTCTGAAATTGTACTGAAAGGTACCATACCACAAAGGGAAGGCTTTGATTGATTTTTGGGGTAATTGCCTCAAAATTTTAGGAATTAGGGGCCAAAAAGGGGAAAAAACAAGCATTTTTCTAGTTTCTTAACAATAACTTGTGTGTAAGTGTATGGATCTTTATGAAATTGTACTACAAGGTTACATATCACAAAGGGAAAGCTGGGTTTGAGTTTTTTGGCTAATTGCCCTAAACTTTTAGGAATTTGGGGCCAAAAAGGGGCCAAAAAACAAGCATTTTCTAGTTTCCAGACAATAAATTGTGTTCAAGTGTATGGATCTCTCTGAAATTGTACTGAAAGGTACCATACCACAAAGGGAAGGCTGGGATTGAGTTTTGGGGTGATGAATCATAAGGGGGTTCAAAAAATTGGGGGGGGGGGGGGTTTCCTTTTTTTTTCTTTAAAATTTTTCATTTTAAATTGGTTATTTCTGATTTATATATAAAAGCAAATAATAATGATATGGTTTGAATAGGTAAATTAAAGATTTTTAAGTTCTTAGACCACATTCATTCTGTGTCAGAAGCCTATGCTGTGTCAAATATTTAAACACAATCCAAATTCAGTGCTGTATCAAGATTGACTGTTGTGTCCATACTTCCCCAACTGTTCAGGGTTCGACCTCTGTGATCGTATCAAGCTGCGCCCAGCGGAGCATTTTATTTGGTTTATAATGTCTTCCTAAACACAGACACAATTCATTTACAATATATCAATCATTCACTTTTGCATTGTGTATTTCAGAGAATTTTGTGGTCTTTCCACTACAGAAGAGAATAATGAATGGGCACATGTGAAAAAAGACGAGCCAACAAAGTCAGAAAGTCTAAATGTTGAAGAGTGTAGCGATTCGAATAATTCTGATATCAGTTCATCATTTTCTGATGAAGAGGATAAATTGACTGAGTATCCTTCTGTCTCTTTAGTTGCCTATGATAATTTTAGTGAACAGGACTCTGGAGTTTCTTCTAATACAGAAAAATCATCTTCACCAGAGCTTTTAAAACAAAATTCTAGTCAAAGAACTTCAAAAACAATACATGCTGATAAAATATTAGAGGACGACTGTAAAGTTAAGGAGATAGAATTAAGAAGAGGTATTTCAAAACAAGTAAAAGTAGATTCAAATTTAATATCTGAAGTTGATTTTGAAGATGATTATCAAATTTCTGACAATTTCAGTATCAATACTACCAAAAGATAGACATTATCTTCAACCATGATGCTGATATTTTTGATATACAGTTCGTTAATCTTCTTTGGGAATCACAAATCTTTGTATTTAAATAGTTAAGACAAAATTTTTGTATTTGTTTTCTTTAAGGAAGGTGTTGAAATCAAGTGACACTTTGAGATTAAAGTGTTTAAAAAACATACCAATAAAATGTTCATATTTTTTAAATTACAGTAAATTCAAAAAATTTTAAGTCCTGCTTGGTATTAGATGAAGTATGAATGTTTGCAATTTTTGATTGTCTTTTCTGATACATTGGTTTTTACTGTGTGACTGTATTGGTCTTTTTTTACTCCTGTTTTTTCTCTCTGAAACTTAGAATATTTAGCTATTTCTGAATTACTGATTTCTATCTTATTTTGAATTTTCACACATTAGAACTTTTTTGATATGAACAGCTATTATAATAATGTATACATGATAGCTGTGTAATCTCGGATGTGTTGTGTTAAATGTTTGTCTTGCAAGTGATTTTTATTATCATTTATTTCAGTGTTTAAATAAGTATTTTAATAGTGTGAATGATAATGCTTGTGTACATGTAGCATGTTGATAGCTGTTTCAGTGTATAAGCTGTGTATTAATCTTTATATGTAAGTTACTGTAAACCAACTAATTTTCGCAAGCGATTTATTTTTTCATGACTTTCGCGAGTAGAATAATAACGTGAATATAAATCGTCACGAATATGTAAAACTTTGATCTTTCCTTATTTAACTACATCAAGCAAATTTGATAATCGCGAAATTAAATCGGCACGTAATGAGCTAGTAAGGGCTAAACGTGAAAATAAGTTGGTTTACAGTATGCATCCCTTCAATCTTTGTGATGAAGACTCGTTCCAGCTATAAATAAAGAGGTTTTAAAAGCTCATTTATGATATTTTCAGAATCAACTCAAACAATGTTCTTTTAATTTTCCAATTTGACCAACAAGTTTATGATACATGTATCATTTTTGTCTTGCATGCCACAAAAGCTGCAGAATGAGAGACATAGGGAAGCGAATCAGACAACAACGTTGTAAGCTTATTGAATAAAACTTTCATTTTCTCTTTTGAATTGTTTAACATTTTGTCATACTAGGGCCTTTTACTAAGCTTATTGTGGAATGCCATACATGTAATTGTTCATATCTTTGTCCTCTGGTCTTTATGGATAGTTGTCTCATTGGCAATTATTCTGCATATCCTTATTTTCATATGCATACAAAAGTCTGTGTGGTGGCCAAATAAGTACCTGTTACCTTAAGTAAGGTGGATGTGTTTTATATTCATTATAATACATTTTTTCTTTCCAAGAAGTGTTTGATGTCATTTGTTTTACTTGCAGTATTACTATTATTTTGTATACAATTTATTGAGATGTATGTTCATATTTTGAATTTATTAAACAATTCAACAAGAATCACTAGTTATCCTTTTAAAATATATTTGGAAATATTAGACATTTATATGTGCCAAAAACAGCTGAAGAATGGATAATTGTCTCCCGTTTGTTGTGCCACCGGGGATATGGTAATGGTCTCTGTCAGTCAGTCTATCTAAAACACATCAATACTCAAACATTTGACATAAAGCTTTCATACTTGGTAGAATTGTTTTTCTTAATATATTCTCTTGACCATGATGCTATATCCTAAGTTGGATTTAAAATTTTTTACAGGAGTTGTAGGAGTTTGATCATTTTATTTTTAGTATTGTAACAATGACACCTTGTAAATGCCACTTCTTTGGGTTTATTTTTTAGAAAGATCTTATACTTGGTAGGATTGTTTGCCGTCATGTAAAGTTGGCCATCTTTTACCACAGATCTACAAATAATTTAAACATGACCAAAATCATTAGTAAACTCGTTAGTGGACTTCTTGCTCTATAATGCAATTTTTACCAATTTTTGGGGTTTTGCCTAATATCTTGAAAACTATAAAAGATAGACACTCACAGTAATCTGAGAAAAACAGCAGAAATGTAATAAAAGTTATTTACTTTCAAAGAAAAAAAAGATAGACAAAAATGATCAGCAAGACAAGATAATAAAAATAAGTCAACTTTTGCTGAATTCATTAATGAATTATTTATAGGAGTGACTACTCTATAACGAGGATTTTTATTACCCTTATTTGTGTTTAGATAGCTATATAGAGAGAAACTGAAAACAGAAAAAATGATCAGCAATGCAAGATCAACAAAATAGAGATTAATTTAAATAGTGCGAGGACATTTTACTACGGCATATCAAACTTCTTGTATTTATTGTATTACCCAGTACCCCTATTCAATTTTTTAAAGATGAACTTTTTTATGGCCCGCCACAAAGTGGTCGGCTCAGCCATATAGTTTTACCTTTGTCCATCATTCTGTCTTTCCTTCATTCCGTCATAGGATATAGCGGTGTTTGCCACCATGTCTACATACTCTGAAGGAGGCATGATACAGGGTTACTTCAGTCTTTCTGTCCTAGTATTCATCTGTATGCCTGTTCAGTCCATCTTTCTTTCTGTCCCATGAAATTTTTTCACATTTTTCTCAGGAATTACTAATCAAGAGCCACCTGAAATATGGTAGGGAGCATCTAAGGAGCATGCTATAGCCTTTTCAAGAAACTTATTTATGGAATTATGAATTTGACTCTAAAATAATAAATTGAAGGTTGTTATCTTGTTGGGCAGTAGAACTGCTCCCCAGTAATGAAACCATATGAAGAGTCAAAGATTAGCGTTTTTATACGACCGCAAAAAAATTTTGTGGTCGTATATTGGTATGACGTTGGCGTCGTTGTCGTCGTCGTCGTCGTCCGGCGTCGTCGTCCGGCGTCGTCGTCCGAATACACATTGGTTTTCGCACTCTAACTTTAGTTTAAGTGAATGGATCTTTTTGAAATTTGACCATAAGGTTAAATACCACAAAAGGAAGGTTGGGATTGATTTTGGGGGTTATGGTACCAACAGTTAAGGAATGAGGGGCCAAAAAGGGGCCAAAAATAAGCATTTTCTAGTTTCAAGACAATAACTGTGGAACGGTGTATGGATCTCTCTGAAATTATACTACAAGTTTTCATACCACAAAGGGATGGTTAGGATTTGCTTTGGGGGGTTATGGCTCAAACCGTTTAGGAATTAGGGGCAAAAAAGGGGGAAAAACAAGGTTGTCCTGGTTAATGGACAAATACTTTAGTACAAAACATAATTTAAAGCAGTGTAAGGGAGATAAATCAAATTCATCATTGAAATTATCTCCCTTACACTGCTTTTAAATTATGTATAAAGTAATGGTTAATGAACAATAAAGATAATTTAAAACAGTGTAAGGGAGGTAATCCAAATACAACGTTTTGGTTACTTCCCTTACACTGCTTTTAAATTATGTTTAAAGAAATGCATATTTATATATTTTACAAAAAAATCCATATGAAAGATTTGACACTATATTTTTAATTCTATTATATAATAGATTAAGTTAGCACTATGGTAAATTTAAATGGGTAATTATGGTTGCCAACTCCATTGGAAATTTGAATTGAGATTTTGACCATATCTTGAGGGAAAGAATTTTTTGGGGGAAAAAAGGGGGGGGGGGGATAAAAAGAAATTGTGGGGGGTCAATTTTTTCTCATTTCAGATTTCAGAAATTAAAAAGAATTATTCTTCAAATATTATTTTTTTTTCAAATTTCAAATATTGAAAAATTTCAAGAAGTAATCTTTAATTGCACAGTATGGCGCATTAGATTTGTAAAATCTTTGATCACATTTATTTATTTGTTATGCCGAATCTAACAGTGTATTTAGATTTTTAATTTTGGGTCCAGTTTTCAAATTGGTCTACATTAAGGTCCAAAGGGTCCAAAATTAAACTTTGTTTGATTTTAGCAAAAAATGAATATATGAGGTTCTTTGATATGCTGAATCTAAACATGTATTTAGATTTTTGATTTTTGGCCCAGTTTTCAAGTTGGTCCAAATTGGGGTCCAAAATTAAACTTTGTTTGATTTCAACAAAAATTGAATATATGGGGTTCTTTGATATGCTGAATCTAACCATGTATTTAGATTTTTTATTTGTGGACCCCGTTATCAAATTGGTTCATATTGAGGTCAAAAGGGTCCAAAATTAAACTTTGTTTGATTTCATCTAAAATTGAATTATTAGGGTTCTTTGATATTCCAAATCTAACCGTGTATTTAGATTTTTAATTTTGGGTCCTGTTTTTTAAATTGGTCTACATTAAGGTCCAAAGGGTCCAAAATTAAACTTAGTTTGATTTTAACAAAAATTGAATTCTTGGGGTTCTTTGATATGCTGAATCTAAACATGTGTTTAGATTTTTGATTATGGGCCCAGTTTTCAAGTTGGTCCAAATTGGGGTCTAAAATTAAACTTTGTTTGATTTCATCAAAAATTGAATTATTGGGGTTCTTTGATATGCCAAATCTAACTGTGTTTTTAGATTTTTGATTTGGGTCCCGTTTTTTTTAAATTGGTCTTCATTGAGGTCCAAAGGGTCCAAAATTAAACTTAGTTTGATTTTAACAAAAATTGAATTCTTGGGGTTCTTTGATATGCTGAATCTAAACATGTGTTTAGATTTTTGATTATGGGCCCAGTTTTCAAGTTGGTCCAAGTTGGGGTCCAAAATTAAACTTTTTTTTATTTCAACAAAAATTGAATATATGGGGTTCTTTGATATGCTGAATCTAACCATGAATTTAGAGTTTTTATTTGTGGGCCCCGCTATCAAATTGGTTCATATTGAGGTCAAAAGGGTCCAAAATTAAACTTTGTTTGATTTCATCAAAAATTGAATTATTGGGGTTCTTTGATATTCCAAATCTAACCGTGTATTTAGATTTTTAATTTAAAGTCCCGTTTTTTTAAATTGGTCTACATTAAGGTCCAAAGGGTCCAAAATTAAACATAGTTTGATTTTAGCAAAAATTGAATTCTTGGGGTTCTTTGATATGCTGAATCTAAACATGTGTTTAGATTTTTGATTATGGGCCAAGTTTTCAAGTTTGTCCAAGTTGGGGTCCAAAATTAAACTTTGTTTGATTTTAACAAAAATTGAATATATGGGGTTCTTTGATATGCTGAATCTAACCATGTATTTTGATTTTGGACATTGGACCATAATAGGTAAATTAAAAAAATTCAAGTTCTTAGACCACATTCTTTCTGTGTCAGAAACCTATGCTGTGTCAAATATTTAATAACAATCCAAATTCAGAGCTGTATCAAGCTTGAATGTTGTGTCCATACTTGCCCCAACTGTTCAGGGTTCGACCTCTGCGGTCGTATCAAGCTGCGCCCCAGCGAAGCATTTTATTAGTTTGTTGTTTTAAAGATAATATTTTGTTTATACATGTATGAGTTATAAATGCCTTCCAATATACTTGTAAACAAACGGGATTATTAAATAGGTGGATTGAAGTAACACATTATTTTCTATTTTCTCTCACAAATATTATCATTTCATTGTGAGATAATTTATGAATTGTATATAACTGGTTATGGAACAAAAGAATTCATTCTATTAACATAATTCAGTGGCGGATCCCTGGGAGGGGGGGTTCCAGTTGGAACCCCCCCCTTCTTTTTTTGACGATCAATGCATTTGAATGGGGACATAAAGTTGGAACCCCCCCCTTTATCCTGGGTTAGGAACCCCCCCTGGATCCGCCCCTGTCATTATTATACTTGACTGGTGGATTGGATATATTCTTAATTTTAGCTTTAAATTAATCTATGTGGTGAATGATATTATTTTATTCAACTCCTGGAGTGTACCTACATTTGCAGAATTTATACAGATACAGAAAATTGCTCTGCATTGCAGTGAACTAGTATTTATACTAGTATATTTCCAAACAAGGGAAATGATTCGTATTCAATTGCAATTTTAAAACTAGCTTTGGGTTTCACAGTGTCTGTCTGTTTCAAACCATGCATTTTCCACGGGAATTACAAAGTGTGCTTCCTGAAATTTGGTAACAAGCTTTATGTGAGCATGTCATAATGTGTGACACATTTTCAGGTTCATAGTCTTTAACTTCCTGTTATCCGAATACTTAATATATATTCTCACACTTAATGGCCATTAATGAAATATTGGTCACATTGTTCTTATGCTAATCTGTGAGATGTGCTTTCACATTTATTTGGTCATCAACTTCCTTTTTACTGAATACTTATAGCAGGGGTCTCATTTGTGACTAACATCTCACATTTAAACTTGTTCCCAATACTTCCCATGTTTATGTAAAAAAAAAAGAGAGAGAGAAAGAAGATACCAATCAAAACTCAAAGTTGAAGAGAGACTGGCAAAATCATGGCAAAAGCGATAATAATGATGAAAGGCAAATAACAGTTTATAAAACACTACATGAAAAACTGAAGACTGACCAACATG